TTTTTGTACTTATCAAAAGTAAAATTCTGACACAAAATCTACTTAAGTATTAAAAGTACTGAGTAAAAGTGAGCAGTTAGATTTTTCCAAAATGACACTTTTTGGGAGGTGACTTCTGCAAAAAAAAATTTCTAAACGTGCAGCTGTGATGGGTTGTGTACAAAGTAATATTGTATCAGAATGGTATATATTTATACTTCTCATCCAACCACAATTAAATTCACTCTATCCAGGAGACGCAATTTATCAGGATAGTATTTTTTTAAGTAATAACTCGGAATAAAATTGGAGTAAAAACTTTCTACTTAACTTTAAAAAAAACRTGAGTAGAAAGTACAGATAATTCTGTAAAAATGTAATGAGTAAAAGTAAAAAGTACGCTGAAAAATAATTAAGTAAAGTAAAGATAACCAAAATTTCTACTTAAGTATAGTAACAAAGTATTTGTACTTAGTTACTTTACAACTCTGACTAGAAACTCATCAGTGAGTAAAACTTTGTTTTACTTTTAATATTTCTGTATTTATTTCAGATTTGGTCAGTCATACTTAGTACTTATCAGTGTTTAAAAGAGGAAATGTCTGTTTTGACCAAACACTGTTTAGTCAAAGTTAAACCTGAAACATCAAAGTTCATTACAAGTTCATGTGGCCCTTTGTGAAAATGAGTTTGATACCCCTGTAAAGGAGGAGGTGTTTTTTTAAAGCACCTGTAATTTGACCGAACTTTATGTATTGTACCAAAATGTGAGGTCTTCATCATTTAAAACAATAAAATAAAAATTTGTGAGAACACAAGCAGCTGTGTGCTATCCACTGCGGTGACGACACCGCTGACATCCAAAGAGCACATAAACAAACGCACATGTGGAAGCTCTCTTAAATCACACATCTGCAACAGGTTTGCTTGTGGCTGCCAAACAACTTCTTTTTTTTTTTCTTCGTCTTTACCTCTAAAACATAAGCATACTTTTACACCCAGGACCTTGTTGTGTATACTCAATCTGGCCTGGACTGGATCCAGCTACCAACCACACCATCTTGTTGACATGACTGCACATAAATAAGTTCACATGACTGGTTTTTACAGTATTTATGGCTTCATGTTTGCCTTCTGGGTTTGATTTTTTTTTCCATTACATGCAGCGCAGTCTGTGTCTGRGTTCGCCACAAACTGCTGAACTTCGGACCTGGAAGTCAACCGCACGATGATAGCTGACAAGAAATATTAACTAAAAGAAAATACAGAATCCTGAATCAGGAGTTAATCAATCAAGGATCTTCTTCAGAGGATGTTAACAATTCATGGAGTGTCTGCGATTTATGTTTAATTTATGTTGCTCATCCTTACTCACAAATGGATTGAMTTTAGGAGTCTAGATAATAAAGTTCAACGGAAATAATCTGATTTTTAGATGAGCAAGCGGGGGATTATTGCCACATGTGTCCAGGAAATCTTTCTAATCTCCCTCATATCATCAAAYAGATTTTAGATAAAACACATCAGTGTAACCTTTTCATGTAATCAGTTTACTGGTAAAACGATTCAAATTGTCATTAGATGAATCCCATATGGTTTTCTGATCAGATGACGCAACACGCCGACTTAAAATCCCACCCTTTTTTTGTAACGTGACATTAAGAACACATCAATCAGAATACTGTCTGAGAGTTTTACCTTTTCATACTTTCTCAGAGGGTAAAGTGTTTGGAACGAATACAAGAAGTGATGTTTTTTTTTTTTTTTTTTTGAGGGTGTGGCTTCACCTTCAGTGATGTCGTCAGAAAGCACATCCAGGAAGTCGATGGCTGGGCTCCATTCACCCATCTGCAATCTGGATTGCTTCTGTAACTTCTTTGGCGGCCTGAAGTGCATGAAATTGTTAAGCTTCCTTGCCTCTGAGTCAGACAAACCTGTGGGGGGGGAAAAAAAATTAAACATTGAATGGAGGCTGAATCACAGCTGACTACAGCCACCCCTCCAAAAATTAAAATAAATAAAAAATAATAATCACGAGGATTGAACAAAGATAATCACTAAATATTTACTAAAACGAGTGCACGAGTCATCATGCAGCTGCAAATTTCAGCAGACCACAGTTAGACACTACTGGCACTGATGTGCAGCGAATTTACCACCAAAGCTGCTGTTGGTCTGAACAAGACCACGTGGATTTGTGATGAAGGCGCCTCGAGGCACCACAGACGCTTCCTCATCAATGTGGTGAACTGTCACTGCCAGCCTCATCTCCTCAGTCTGAAACAGGGAAAAATGCTCCTAAAATGAGATTTCATATGTACACGTAATATCTTTAAAAAAAAAAACACTAAAAATCTAGAAAAAAAAGGTTAAAACGCAGCCAAAATCCAAAGAAAAACATTACGACTAAGATGAAAACTATTTCAAATTATTCCAAGAAAATGATCATGACATTTGCATATTTAGTATTTATTTATAATCTGGAGGGAGTACAGATGTAAACGTGCCTAGAGGCTTTGCATGTACTGCAGGAGGATGCTTTCCTTGATGAAAATCTCAGTTTGTGTGCTGATGTTTCTTACCAATGCATCTTCCTCTGCAKTCTCAGGTTTGTAGGTAAAAGAGGGGTCTCCTTCAAAGCAACCCTTGGCAGTTAATGCCACCWGCTCAATCATAGAGTCTGTGACACTGGGCAGGAGGAACCAGTCGATGCAGTTGAAGCTGCAGGTGACCATCCACAGGACAGAATGAGGACAAACATGCAGCAGCTTAAAAAAAAAAAAAAAAAAAAAAAAAAAAACAGCATGCGAACACATGTCTGCCTTACCTGTACAGAAACTTTCTGTCTTTCATTTCATCTTCTCCTCTCCCTTGGACAATGAAGTAGTCCTCATTTAACCCCAGTATTTTGCCCCAGAACAAGACTCGCCGGAACTTGAAGTGTGTCTTTAGAGGAGCCAAAGAAGTTGAAAGGGCAGCTTTTTGTCCGCCAGTTAAAATGTTCCCACAAACGGGAACTAAGTCCAAAAAATAGTGCAGTGAGTCTGGATCCATTATGATACTTTTTAAAGGCAGCTAGCTTAAGATGTTTTCAAGCTATTTGCTAATCTGCGCGTTTGGTTGCTATGACAGCAAACCTCACTTGTTTGCTTTTTTCTTTTCTTTCTTTCTTTCTTTCTTTTTTTATCTTCACTTTTTTCCGTTCCCCATCACAGAAACCACTATCAAGGAAACAAAATGCAATGATAAACAGTAATGTCTCAGTTTGGTCGTTGCGAAATGTTTGGGTTTTTTTTTTTTAACCATCCCAAATGCGTCTGACGTCATCCGCCGTCTGTTTTACGTACGTGCGTGACAGCTGCGGGCAGTGAAAGCAATGAGCGCGTCATGTCAAAAGTGACTGTGGTTCATCCACAAAGGGGAGATCCGATGACTCTGCGGATGAAAGTAACATGACTCGGTCTGAATGTTTTCCTAAGAAGTTTTGCATTCAGGAAATGACAAGCAGCGAGCATTTCTGTTTGTTTTAGTTTAAAAATGACCTGTAGCTTTAGCTTAGGGTCAACATTTGGTTGACCCTAAAACCCTAAAAGTGAAATGCTGGTAGTTGTAGGCCTAATA